CTTCTTCTTCTTCTTCTTCTTCTGCTCCTCCTCCTCCGCCTCCTCCTCCTCCTCCTCCTCCTCCTCCACCTCTATATTGCTGTTACTTAAAACTCTTGATGTTTCATTTTTTTTCCTCTGCTTGTCCTCATTCAGCATGGTTCAAGAACTTCCCATATTGTTACTTTCAAAATAATGTCTCTGCTCTATTACAGGTCTATTAAAATTCTTCCCTCCCTATCCCCTTCCTCCCTTTTTCTTCATAGATCTGTGTAGAAATAACTTTTCCCAATGCATTTGATCCATTGCTGTCATATCCTATTCTATCATACTTGCCTTTTTTACAGCCTGAAAATTCTCCAACATCATTACAATATTTTCCTTTGTAAAAGAAGGGAAAATAACCAATCCTTCTGGTTTTTATTTTATGCCCCTTTCCAAATGTGAAATATCCTTTTAGAGGTCTGGTTGCCAGAACTATACATCTATTTCAAATGTGGTCTGTCATCTTGTTGAAATTTTCAAGGTAAAGTCTGAAAGGCTGATATTTATTCAGTCCTAGCAGACATGGGGAAATCCCCATGTTTGCTGCTGAAGACACCCCAGTGCTCTTAAGCGCCGGCCAAAAAGCAGCACTTTCTTATTGCAGATTCTGGGATATTCCAGATCCATCTCTCCTGGGCAGTTCACTTCTTTTCTGTCCTTCTGTGTGAAAGGCACATGAAATACAGCTGCTTGCATGTCCTTTTCCAATTCATAGCAAGCTCATGAAAAATCCCAGAAACTGATTTGCAAACTGCACCTGCTGAGATTGAAGTAGAGGAAATGTGGGCTTGGTTTACCTTTATCAAGAGCAGTTTTCAACATCTTAACAATCTTAACATCTTAACAATCTTAACAATCCAAAAGGCCCTACTATGGCAGGGCTGTAACTCTTAGTATCTTCTGCTGTAGGAATACTGTGCTCCTGGCCAAACATTAGCCATTTCTTGGACACAGCTATGAAGAGCTGCTACTTCTTTTACATTGCCTTGACTGCCCTTCTTTATGCAGGTAAGCAGTTGCAGTTCTAAATAGGATGATTCCAAGAAATGTCGGGGCCCCAATTTTTTAGAGTTCCTCTAATTTTCTTCCTTCCTTCCACACTCACATGCAGAATGTTTTGGTCCAGAATCAAAAATCCACAAAGACCCCCTACAATAACAGTGCTTCTTACTAGGTCACAGATTATTTTGTTGTGTGTGTATGTATATATATATATCACTAAGGAACTGAGGACAGTGAGAATCAAATGTGCTGACTTACTGATGATGTATTGCTTAATATTTTATTATTATGACATTAGAATTTTTTATTTTTTTTATGAACTATCATACTCCTTGCCAGTTCTGAGTGTTGGGAAAAACCAGCTTCTCCTTGCAAAAAAGACCAAAAATCTGAAGAGGATATAACAAAACCTATATTGCTCAATAATCTTTGGAGCATTTCCTAATGAAAAGGGAATCTAGACAGAGAATGATAAGTTAATACAGTGGTACCTCGGGTCACGAACGCTTCTGTTCATGACCAATTCGGGTCACGAACAGCACCGTTCACAAAATTTTGCTTCGTTTGCGAACGCCGGATCAGGTGACGAACAGGATCCGTGGCCATTTTCCCTC